TTAGTATTTATAAAAATGTATACAATCTAATCTACGACTGGTACAGAAAAATACAACTGTCCCCCTAAAGAGGCTGTATATTCTATACAGCCTCTTTAGGGGGACAGTTTGATTTTTCAGTGGTCCCTGCGTAAATTTTCCTTGGTATTTATTTGTCTTTGGATTGCCTCAGCCGTATCCGCCTCTCCGGGTGTCAGCTGAGCTGCCGTCGCTGGTCAATGGTTTAACTCCTGAGGCGGAAAATGAGACAGAGAAAAAGGGAGTATAATGATACCCTCATCGTCACTTTATAACTATTTTTTCTTTATTCCCGCCGCCAATTTGGTGCAGAACGAGATGACTGTACTTGTCTTGCGCGTGCAGCAAGGGTCGTCGGCCCTGCTGTTGCTGCTGTTTTTGCTGTTGCTGCTGTCCCGGCTGCCGCCACTACCGGTATCTTTGTTTCTGCGGCTGCTGCTGCTGGTGCGCTTCCTGCTGCTGTTGCTGCTGCTGCGCCCCCTACTGCAACTGCTGTTGCTGCTGCTCCTCCTGCTGCTGGTCCTGTAGCTGCTGGTCTTCATGCTGCTGTTGCTGCTTCTGCTGCTCTTCATGCTGCAGTTGCTGTTGCTGCTGCTCCTCCTGCCGCTTTTGCTGTTGCTGCTGCTCTTCCCGCTGCTCTTCCTCTTGCAGTGGTTCCGACGCCGGCAGCCGATCCTGCAGGTGCAGCAGCAGCTGCTGCTGCTGCTGCCACTCCTCGTCATCCGCCCGGAAATGCGCCCATGGACTTCGCTGCAGCGCCGGCAACGCCGGTGTAGAGAAGATAATTTGCTTAACAGGAACGAGATAACCTGAAGGGGGTCTCAACCCCCTTTTATAGAATTCAAGTCCGTTCTGCAGCAGCCTGGCTAACAGTACATTTTGTTCTGCTGTGCGGCGGCCAACAGAAGACTGAGAGGGGCGTGTATACACCGGAAGGGTGTCTAATGTTGCTTCCCACCATTCGTCTCTCTTGGCGTTCTCTCCTAATACCTCTGCTGCAACAAACATTGCATCTGTTAGCACCAGAGCGATGGCGAGCTTCTCTACAACATACTTAGGGCCTAGATCTTCGATGACCTCCTTCTTGCGATGCAGTGTATGCTCAACTAGCTGCTCGAGACACTCCAATAGGCGCTTGAGGTCTCTTGAGCTTAATATTGGCTTCTTCAAGATATTTTTAATGACTATGAGGGCACCCGTCTCGATTAAGGTCCGTCGAGATGTCGACCAATGCCTCCGCTCAAACTGCCTCGAAAGAACGGCATCACTGGCTACAAGAGGACGTCTGTAGAAGGGGTGGTGGTTTACATTATACGTCAGCA